TTCAAAAATATATTTTTTTAGGGATTTTAGTAGAAAATCCCGTAACTTACATTTAGGAGGCATTTCCACTCCAACCACGTACATGTATGCCATTAGTATTGGTGTCACTTTTGAATTGATTTTTTCGTTTCAACTAATTTTAAAATTGAAAAATGTTCTGCACACCAGCATCAAAATACCTTTCTAATGATGTATAATTATTTATACCTTAGAAGTATAGTTTAGCCGTAAAAGGAGTGTAAAGAAAAACTGATTGCCAATTTAAATATAAAATATAAGATGTACAAATTTGTTCAAATGTACCAATCGTGTGACGCTGCCTTTATAGTAGTTCGAAAATGCCAGAATATGTGTTTTTTACTCTCAAAAATAAAAATAAACAATTGAGAGAAATGTCGATATGGCATATTTCCCTCGAGCCAAGTACATATATACCAGTTTTAGCCACGCTCTTTGCCTTCCTATACTAACAAATACTGCGCTAGTGCTACATTTTGTACGGCTTTTGTAGCTCGAGTTGTATCATACATATGTCTTTCAGTATTCGAATATCAGAGATAATGACGGCGATCTATCGGTTAAATAATACTCCATGTCACACTCGATGGTACTTTTTGGATATGTTATTCAGCAGTTGAACTCTAACAATAGCTACGCTAAATTTTTTCGCCAAATTTCTGTAGAAATCAGTGGGGCCTAAAAGTATACAACATGAAAAAGTAACAGACGCAATGTGTAATCAGCCAAATCTGGGAGTATGAAGGGCATGTAACTAGATTTTGCATGCTGTTATGCGCCCCTTCAATTATTTTGGAGATTTTTGGCGATCTTTTGGCGATTTTGGGCGATTTGGAGATTAGCGATAACGATTTGGTATACCAGCTTGACTACACTAATATTAGAGGTGTTTAAAAATTTTATTGTGTGGTGATTAGAGGATACCTGTAAACATAAATATGTATGTATATATAGTTTACCTTAATTCACAAAGGCCTTAACCAACACTTTTTTCTAAATTGCGTTTTTTCCAAATGTTGGTAGGATGTATTAAATAAAAATTTTAAGGTCTTAGTACCAAAAACACCGGAGTTACATGCAATTTTTTAAAAAGTCCTAGCTGTATTTGATACTATTTTTGTTTTTTGCTTGTCCTATAAAATTAAAAATTTGTTGATTAGGGCCTCCGTGAATTAAGGTGACGATATGTATTTTGGTTATGATTTAAAGTGTTGGTTAGGGTGTCTGCCACCGGAGATTTCCGCCCATTCCTAGCCAGCTCATCGACTGTGTAGTTACCCACAATTTACAATCTCCGTACAATTCATTTATCCTAAATATATGTCCAAGTATTTTTCTGCGAAATTAAAACACTTCACGCTCTATCTACGGAACTGTATGCAAACTACAAATTAATTGCACGACATTTACACTTTTTTGATTACTCACCAATTCTATCAAACAATTCACCACCAGCTGCATATTCCAAAAACAAATACTCCACATCATCGTGTGAACGTTTGCCAAAATAACGTAGAATATGCTTATCCTGTAGTAGTTTCTGTATGCAAACTTCTTTGCGTACGGAGAGCATAGCATCCGGATGCTTCTTCAAATCGACCATTTTCATAGCAACAGCCTCGCCGGTTTGACGATTAATCAACAATTTTACTCTGCAAAAAAAGGAAGAAAATGCAAAGGACAAAATAAATAAAAGAGCGGTTCAAGTAGAAGACAATGTGTAAAGGAAAAAATAAAAAAAATAAAAAATAAATTTAAAAACAAAAGTCTACACTACACACTGCTTCAAATGAAATAAATGCTGCACTGGTTTGTTATACGTATCTACTACCTAGCACGTAGTAGTATACAGCAATGTGGCAGAAGACTGGATAAGCGGAAGGATTGCTGCGAATGCTTAGCTTGGAATAAACGGTTGCAGAGTCGTTTGGCAGTTTGGTCTTCGACCGACTGGTGTGATAAACACGAGTTGATACTACAACTATACATGTATGTTTGTATTTAGGTATACTCTCTACAGGTCACTAGTCGTATCTTTCGCACTCGGGGTAGTAAAATTGTACCTACAACAATTTTGTCATTTGGGGTATTCTCTAAATCTTGCAAAACCCTTGCATGGTGTACGTATTACACGATTTGCAAAATTTTCCCCATAGGAAAACCGGTTCTGCTGTGCAATCCTTGCACCGTGCAAGGGTTTTGCAAGACATAGAGAATAACCTTAACGTGTTTTTTGTTTTTTGTATGAGCACTATTTTCATATTGTTTTTGTTACATTTAACTATTGTTATTTGCGTGGGGGTTGTAAATGCAAACAACTTATATACTAAATGGCGAATTCCTTTACGAACAAAAGAGAACAGAAAAAAGTTAATAGACTTAAAAAGTGTAGTCAATTTGCGGCTAGAAAATTTCCTAATATGCATGAAATTGCAGAAAAGACAGCAAACTAGAACTAAAAACAATACAAATAGACATACAGACTTGTTTACATATGTATCTATGTTAATATCCAGTAAAATGAGACTTGCCGAAATTGTTTCAGCAAACGAAAAATGAGTTTTGTAGCATTGCTGAATGACATAGAAATTGTAGCGCATGCGCATAATAGTGCAAATTTTTCATGTTTTCGCAAAATGTATAAATATGAGTACATTATTTTTATGCAAAAAATATCGTGAAATTATAGTATGTAAATGTGTTCTCTTTTATAAGTAAATAAAATTTTAGAGCCAGCTCTATTCATCAAATTCAATGTCCTTTTCCCGCATCCTTATTTATAATTAAGAAAACCTTTTCCAATTTAATATCTAAATACTTGAAGATAAAAAAATTAAAGACATTATTATTTTGTATCATTTTATATCTAGGTACTCACTCGCCATAAGCGCCCTCGCCAAGTGTTTGCGCAAGTGTCCAACCTTCGACGAACTCGCGAGCGCTGCTGTCACCGCCATCACCATTGCTTTCCGGCTTTAGCGAGTCAACAGACAAAGGCATTATCGAGGCGGACATGTCGGTGGGTGGGTGGTTCGTGTGTGTGTGTGTGTGTGCTACCGGTCGTGTCTTCCTTGACTTCACAAAATTATGTCGCTTTACAACACAAAGTTTTGCAATTTTTTTTTCCTATACAGTGCAATTGACTTCGTTGGTTTGGCTTATGACTAACGTTGGTGTACACTGACTTATGTTTGTTGGTGCATATTTGTTGACAACGGCATGTCGTCTGGGTTCGCCGTCGCCGTTACTGCCGTTCCCGCTGTCGTGATGGTGATGGTTTTTCCGCTAAAGTTAAAGATATTTTATTAGAATGATGTTTGTTGAAGAAATTGGTTTTCGTCGAGTGCAACCAATATGTTACGTTGGGCATGCTGATGGTTTTGTGTCGAGCGAAGGGGGAGACTGATAAAGTTTCGCTAACATTTTTACGACGCATTTGTTTTTAAATAAGAAGCTTAAATGCCCTTTGAAATAAAATTTAAACTTTGGCTCTTAGTTTTATGTTGAACGTAAACAGAAATTAGTTTATGCAAGAAATATTTTAAATTTTCTGTGCTACGTGTAGCGATCGTTGATACTGAGGAAAACGATCATACTACTTGTGTACATATGTACATCAAAAGTTCCCACGACAGTCGGATTTTCGTAACCCGAACGACCCAGATTCATATCTGGCCAAGGACTGCTACTCCAGCATTACTCCTCAAAAACCCTTTGCGGAATTTTCTTGTTTGGTCACGCCGTTGAAGACAGATGCCTATGGCAGTATGTATTTCCAGTGAGTGAAATGGTCAAAATCATTTTTAAAGTCAAGGTTTTGCCACCTAAATATTTTGCCTTTTCTCCATGCCAAATGACTTTTATCAGGTGAGATAACATAGAACCGACCATCTTGAGATTGTCGCAAGATACGAAATATATCTTTTAAAACGTTTATGAGTTCTTTACTGCCAGATATATACAAATTTCTGTTGCGAAATCCATAGCCAAACTCTTCAACACGTGCAGCAAGAAAATTAGTCCAGAACTCGACGGGCATGCGGATGACGCAAAAATACCGCTCAGCCGATTACCCAAAGAATTTGGGAGTCACGTTCAATAGCCTTTTCTCTTTCTCAGCCACTTGGAAAAAAACTACCTACCAGGACCAAAGCCCTCAAAGCGCAACAGGGCAGCACCTAGGAAGCCGACAAACAAACTATGTTAGTAACTAAAAGACAATCGACCTGTCGGTGGAAAAGGAAGAGACGATACGCAGTCTTCAAAGGGTTTAAACGCATATCTACAAACGGCTGCAGGCTACCATTTAATGTCGTCCGAGCATGACCTTGTCGACAGGAGGCCAAATTCATGCGATTCAAGAAATTTTGCGTGTGATATCATCATGGAAACTACCCCAACAACACCCTGCTTTGTTAAATGGTAACTTCAGTGGAGAACGACAACATCATGCTGGGTATTGACCGCCGCCCATTAGCATTGAAGAAGCAAAGCTGTCGAGAGGCAGCCGATGCAACCCTGGACGGCTCAATTCCGGTTGGTACCACCACATGCTTTATAGCTTCCTCTCTCTCGGCTAGAGCGGAGTGGTGGCAAGCACTTTGCCAGCAATACAGGAATAATAATAGAATGCGCCAATCAATGTTATCACCGCCCTAAGCTCAACGAGCCAGAGGATGAAGATGGCAAAACCTTCAAGTAGGAAGCATTTCACCGTAATAGGCCAAGCTCAGTTTGTTAAATGACATTGCCGAGGCAAAAGCACAAATATTTTTTTTTAGCTAATCTATAACGAAGTATTTGCTCGGCTCGAACAACTTATAGGCGATTTAGACTGTTTTTGCTGATTTTGAAATAATGTTCGTAAACTTGCATAACTCGAAGACAGCAAATTTTCGTCAGTCCCTCTGTGTGATTGTTCTTTGTTGTTGGGTTTTTAAGTAGCCGGGTACACAGTGGTCTTGAAACAATGATAGGTATGACTAAAATGCCAACCAAAACTGCTTGCATACCAGTTTTGGAACGCACCCATAGACCAATATGCCGTTGGAATTAAAATCATATCTGCTCCTATGCCTAAAATATTGTCAAATGAAAATTTGGAAAAAATTTAACTGCAATTGTTAGTATTTCTTGTTCAACAGAGTATTCTAAAGTTATCGTTTTGTATATTAGTGTAAAAAAAAAACAGATAGTATTTTTCTCCAAGATAATATTTCTGGTGTAAGCTATTTGATTGCACATCATGTCTTCTATAAGTCATCCACAACATAAGTGTAATCACGAAGAGAACAGATTTAAAGTGTGCGCGCCTTGTGGGAGAAATATTAAATTCGGATCGTCAAAATCTTCAGAATTTAATATAACCGCAAAATTGGAGTGTCTTATTAAAAAATACGTTAGTGAAAATTTTAGATTAACCAATTCGAAGTCCCCATTAGGCATTTGTGGTACATGTCTTAGGGTTTTCTGTGACCGAGATAAGGATATGCCAAATGCAACGCGGCCTCTTCCTAACATGCCTAACTATGAAGATTCGACAAAAAAAAAACAACAACCAGTTCATGCTCTTGTTATATCTGCCTCACTGCTCCGGCAACCAGCCATCCAAAAGTTATACAAGGGAGAGCACATACCTTAAATGTATTGAGTGAAATAAACTCCACCAATGGGTTGACTGCTTTGTCAGTTGGGTCAGAATTAAAAAATCATGTGCGTAAACTCGCTAAAGCCTTCCGAAGCACAGAAATGTCGGAAACATTAAAAATTCACGTGCTTTTAAATCATTTGGAACATTGTCTGCATTTTTTAGGCAATGACGCCTTCGGAAAGTGGTCGGAGCAAGCTGGAGAATCCATTCATGGCGTATTTTTAAGATTTTGGCTCAATTATAAAGTTAATTCGATTAACGACCCTAAATATATAATCAATTAAAAAAAAACTGTAGTTGAATTTTCATGAAAACACATATGAATTTATATAAAATAATATTTTATATTGACTTTGTAAATTTATAAAATTTATGCAATGAGAATTATTAAAATATGCAATTATGTAATATTATCTCTTGAATAACTAAGTTAAAATATTTTATGGTTATAACGTAAGAAAGTGTTATAATTATATTACCATAGACCTTCGCGATTATACAACTGGATTTGGAAAGTTCTAGATCAACATTTTATAATATTTTAAGCATAGGAGCAGATGGAATTTTATTTTCAACGAAATTTTGATCTATGATTATGTACAAAGACAGTTATGAAAGCCGTTTTGGTTGGCATTTTAGTCATAGCTATGGTTGCTTCAAGACCACTGTGGGTTCTCACTTCGATTTTGAAAGCGCAGAGCTGAAAATAGAACAAAGAAAGAAACATTTATGAAAAAGCATTTCACGAAAATATTTTACTGGTGTATAAAACATGTACATATGTATGTAAATAAATTTTAGCAAAAGTATAAATATAGTAATAACATATCGACCATTAAAATAACCTTCAAAAATTATATTTTTTTTTACCTGAAAAGAGAATGCACAAATTTTTAACCTATATTTTTACTGCGCAATAGTCGCATGAACCGAAATTTAAGGAGCCCTAACCACCAAAAAAACCTAAGCGCCATATTATTTTTTTTAATTTTTTTTTGATGCAGAAATGCATCTACATACATGCCTTAGGAGCAGTTCTGTATCAAAAATAAATTTTTAGAAAACATATCGCTTAGCCACCTTATTTTGGCGATTAGTGCTCAATGTATTGAAATTTTAATTTTAAAAATCTGCTGTTTTCTGGTCAAAACAAAAGAAAAACTTCTATTTCGTGGGACATTTTAAAGGACAAGGTATTTGTTTCATACAACATGACTATTTTTCTATTAATTCGCTATCTATTCTCGTTCTGGGGATGTTTAATTTTGTCCCAAAAAGGTTCATTTTCCGCACTGGGGGTCGTCTGTCAGCAAGCGCAAAAAACATCTGTCGTTCAGAGACGGCGATAAAGTGTTGTTTCCAAAAAAACTCGATGGGGAATTTGTATGCAGTTACAACAACAGCAAAAACAACTGGGTAAAGATAGTCGAGGCCATTCAAAGAATCCAGTGCTTTATATTTGTAACATGAAACATGAACTTAGGTATAAATATAAATCAAGTATAAGCACGAGATATGTCTACCTATTCGTTTTGCGTAGGAAAAGCATAAATACCAAAATGAGCTAAATTTTTATTCACTGGATCTTTCCAGCTTAACTCAGTAATCACCTGCTACGACCGCATCGAATAATTTGTTTCGCTGATGCTGGCGACCAATGGAGTCATTGGCTTCATTTAATGCACTCATGTACATAAGAGCAAATCTTACGAGTTGTTACATTTTTCGACAATTTTGGTCGAAAATGGTGGCACACTTATCTTAGAAAGCGCATCATCTTCAGTTTTGTATAAAGAACGATATTCCATCGCGAAATTGTATTTAAATGATATATGCACCCATGATAAAAACATAGCAAGGTAGAAGCGTTCTCTCAATTTGTCGGCCATGATTTTTTTTTGAAGTTTGCCAACATTTTAAAATCATATAAAAGTGAAAATAAAAAATTGAAATTGTTCGAAATTGTTGTTGCTTGAGATTGAAAATGAAAATGTGTGTGTGAGTTTGTGAGTAAATTTAAAAATTAAATTGTTTGGAAACGTCAAGAATTTTAAAAGTGACTCTCAGCGTTTTAGAATGAATTACGAGTGTGGCAATAAAAATTGTAAAAATGGAATTTTAGTTTCTCAATCATAGTAATCTTTTACTCAATGCAATTTTTTTTTTCATTTGGTGGCACACTAGTTTTATTACACTTATTACACGTATCTTAAATTATTAAAATAAAAAAAAAAAAATCGTTAAATTTCAAAAATTACAAAATGCATGCTGCCATTTTTTATTTATTTAATTTTTTTAATTTGGTGATATACTCTTGAAACTTCACAGATATGCTGTATTTGGTGCCAATGTCCATTGTCTCTAATATGAACATTCTATTTGAAAACTTCCCCGTTATTAAAAAAAAAAACAATTTTTTTTTGCTTTATTTGTTAGAAAGGGAGAGATCAATCTACTCACAATTTTGATGAACATTTGACGTGTTTTTGTTAATGTTTGGTAAGGAAATGTATGTATATAGTTTTAAGGATTTTGTTGTAGTATGAACTACATATCGACACCTGAGTGGAAGATCGACCGATCTCGAAAATGCCCTACTTCAGAATTTGATTGAAGAACGCCCTATTTCATAATTGTATTGAAAAACACTCGATCTCAGAATTTGGTTGAAGAATGCCCTATCTCAGCTGCCGATTTAAAAACGCTCTATCTCAGCACATTTTCAATGTATTTTCAGCTGAGGTAGGGCGTTCTTCAACTAAATTCTGAGATGGGGTGTTTTTCAATCAAATTCTGAAATAGACCGCTCTTGAAAAGTTTTCGGAGATAGCACCTTTTCGAACTGACTGCCGAGATAGGTCATTCTTCCACTCAGGTGTCGATATATTTGTATTAAAAATTAATAGATTTTAAATAAAACAAAATATTTTAAAAATATGAAAACAAATTTACTGTACGAGTTTGACTGACACTCTATGTTAAAATAACGTGATTGACCAGAAAATCTAACTCACGCACGTTGACGCCAGCAAAAAGTTCAGTTATGGACGATGGCGGAGGTTCCGCGATTTTCTCTCAAAACCGCTCACGTTCTCGTGTGAAAAGCGTGACACGACGACGGATTACGTAGAAAGTCACATGCATTGCCCATCTCTAATTTCAAGTCATAATTTGCAGTAAGCGAGATTTTACTACAAATTTTTATTACCATTTATTAGAACGCTTTACTTTATTCCCAGATTAAATTATTAACCCAGCCGTAACATACGATTAATCTTTAATGACCCTTGTGTACAAATACAAGTGAGATATCTTAGCAATAGACGTCATCCTGGGCCACAGCTGCGATCATCTGTTTTTTAGAGTTGCTTATTTTGGTCTAAAGTGCGCTTTTTTGACCTGAGTTGCATTAAATAGTCTCTTAAAACTTGGTAGTATTTGTTGTTCAAAAGGTAACATATATGCCCAAAAACTTGAAAAATATTAGATGATTGCTTTTTAAAAATGCTATTTATAAAATTTGGTTTTGATTGCGACATTAGAAATATTCAGATTATAAAAGTGTTTCACATATGTTTTAAGATTTTAAAGCTTTTAAAATGTACGGTAGAATGCAACAATGTGCTTGAATTTGTTTGCTTCTTCGTCAGCTTATTCGTTTGCAGACTAGAAAAATGGCGAACAGCCATCAAAATACTGATTCAAAATACACACAAATGGGTGCGCGCAGCAAAATTCAGCCCTAATGGTAAGTTCATTTCATCGTGCGGCGACAAGTTAAGAATTTGCGATACATTTTCAGGCGAATGTATGCGAACGTTCACCGGGGGAAGAGGTACGGGACGACAGCTGGCATGGCATCCAGACGGCAATCTGGTGGCTTTAGCATTAAGTTGTAACCGCGTTAAGATATTTGACAAAGCTGAAGGCGAGCTAATACAGTGCATTCGTCGCCGGAGAATGATGTTGCATTTCACCCAAGTGGAAATTTCTTGGTGACTGGCGGCGATGACGATACAATAAGATTGCTTGATTTATTAGAAGGTCGGCCAATTTATACACGGTAGTAGTGCACTTTAGCGGAACCATATAAAATACATTTTTTCCTGTATTCAACAGTTGCCCGTTTGGAAATCTAATTTGCATACATTTGATGCCAATAGCGCGCAACAAACAAGCCAGTTCTCAAAGAGCCCAAATTGATTTTAGTCATGCAACAGCTCCACATAACTCCGCCATAGACACACCAGTTGCTGGAGTACCAAAAAGCTGTGATGACAGTATTTTAATTGATCCACGACAATCGGTGGCATATGGAATGCGTGATGGAAATTTTCTGGTGCTTGATAGCCAATATACTACAAGAGTGAAACGCTACAAGTGAAACGCTGTGATAGTATTTTTTCTCAAATTTTCATCTTTTATTTGCAGTTACATTAAGAAGCTCATAGAGGACAGAGCGGTTGGTGAGGAAGGTGTCGAGTTACTGCTGTACTGCAACTGGGAAAATCCGCATTTCGCACGTGCTCCACTCGTATGGAATAGTAGCTTATGTCGAAAGGCTGGATTTAGTATAATGCGGCATTCGCAGCATACCCTCACTGGCGCCGAGCCGTTGAAGAAATTTTGGATAAATAAACGTGCAAGAAATAGTTCCGATACTAGCACGTCCATATTCTTGTTAAGGGTCATCAAAAAATTCCTTGTGTTGTAAATAATAAAGGGAATGCCGGATTATACTAAAGCCAGCTTCCCGACATAAACTACTATTCCATACGAACACAGAAATATAAATGTATCTAAAACTGAATAACTCAAATCAAATTGGATTGCATTTGCATAATATACCTAATATTGGAATCTGTTTTGATCGTAAAAAATACAACTTGCAATCATTTAGATTATAGTTTTGAAAGAAATTGATTGCAATCGTAAATTATGTAAAAATTGTCAATAACAATCTGCCTAAAATTTATTTTCCCCATGTAACGGTTATAAAATACGTTAAATCCGCACTATCTGCATTAACAAAAAATATACATTGGAATATTTAAAATAAACCGATTCATATTTATTTTCTAATAATAATTGTTTCTTAATTGAAAGTATTTAATACTAATATAATGTAGTGATTAATGTTTTAAAATGAATTCGCAATATGTCCGCAGCTCAGGTTGATTTAAAGAAATCCGTTTAAATTTTTCGAATTACATCTACTTGAATACAGGATTGTATACAAATGGTAGTTCCGTAAATATTTAAAATATGTTAGTTCATTCAATATTTGCATCTGGGCCAATAAATAATAACAAATATAGCCGAAAAAAAACAAAGTTTCAATTAAAACGAGTTTTTATAACCCCCCATAAAATTCCGATTAATTTTAAATACGAAAATAACGATATTTTTTCATGGAGATTTATTTTTTTAATATACCTTGTTTATACCTACACAAAAACCGGATTAGCAAAAAACCGATTGGACTCAACATATATTTCTTTACAGCATTTATCCCCCTGTCTTTATAGCGCACTCGATAAAGTCTTATTCAAAAGTAAACAAAATTGCTATTTTTAAACGACATTTTTTTAATAAATAATTTGCGCGGTTGACCGAAATGGAAACAAACAATAATTGTAATTTATTATAACAATAATACGAATTTAAAACGGGCTGTATAAAGAAAACCAGCCTATTGTC